AATGGAATGGGCTGAAAGTGAATGGATTGGGCTGAAAGTAAATGGAATGGGCTGAAAGTGAATGGATTGGGCTAAAAGGGAATGGATTGGGCTAAAAGGGAATGGATTGGGCTAAAAGTGAATGGATTGGGCTGAAAGTGAATGGAATGGGCTGAAAGTGAATGGAATGGGCTAAAAGTGAACGCGTAAGCTCGATTCGACGGGCAGAGCAGGCGCTCCTGTAGAACGAACATCCAGCCCGTGGTTAGCGCCACTTCAGCAGCGTTTTTATTTCACCGAGGTGTTGGCGTTTTAACTGAGTTTCATCACGGCAGCCTGGACATAGGGACTTCGCTCCGGTCATGGGCAAATCCTGGCCCCCCGCCCAAGCTCCCTGCATCGCCCTGTCCCCTAAACCAGCGGCGTGGGGCCACCCTCATCCCTGAGCCCCGTGTCCCGCTGCCTGGTGACTCCGATGTGGTAAATGGCGTTTCTGAAGAGGGTGCTGCTCGGCTCCAAAGGGCACTGGGGAGACTGAAGGGCCAGGGGACGTTTCTGCTGGACCAGTTTTGCCTTTCCGTGGCACAGCCTCAGGAACCGAACGTACGGCTCGTGCAGAGAGATCAGCGCAAGTTTACCGAAGCTGGAGCTTGCTTGTTCTGTTGCAGAGCACAACCCCGGTCTCTGTTACCTGCACGGAAACACTGCGCTTAAACGCCACGAGCAGCCCTCTTCCCAAACCCAACTGTCAGTGTCAGGTCCGGGAGTATCGCAGGAGGATTCTTCTACCTGCTCTCCTATCCCTCAATGGGACACTCCAAGATATTGCCATGTATTTACAGCTTTATCAGTATACACTCACATCACCTTTTAGAACAGTTTCTGCTGGCTACTTGAACATGCCAGATCTGAGCTGAAAACCATTTGCTTCTTTTGATGTATGTCTTTTTTACACATTTGTGTTCCAATATATTTAGTGTGTGTATTTATTTATCCAGTTAAACACATTTTTTTCTCTTTTTGCTGAAACAATCACAAATATTTTCTTAATATATTCTGTGCTTACAGATAGAGGTAAAGAGAAGGTGACCTTAATTTGGGGTGGTGATTTTTTTGGACGTTCTTTGCTATATAAGTTGAGAACAACCACACAGGCCGTTTTAGTTCACAAATGGCATATTCTTTAAAATTTACAGTTACCTGAAAATAGTCCTATAGCATAGCATAGTGGATAGCTTGAAGGTAAATTAGGATTCCAAAGGCTCATGGCTGGTTGGTGTGTGTTTAAGTGAAAGACAAGTTAGGAATAGGTTTATATTTATATTAGAAAAATAATAAATTGGAATGCATCAGTGAATTTAATCATATATACCAATGAGCACTTTCTTTGATCTTTTAAGATGATGCAATTTAGGTTGTTTTATTCAAGAGAACCAGAGAGATTGATGTGAGAATCAAAAATTTCATCCAAATCTTGTTTCCTAAAGAACATTCTGCAACTGAAGTAAAAGCTGTTGATTTGCATGATTTCTGAAGCAGCTTCAATTCATTTAGTTTGGTCTTCCACACCATGTTCAAAAGCATCCAATGTAATGAGAATAGTGTCTAAATTAGCAATATTGACAGGGGTCCCTACTATGTGTCAATAATACTTTTGCAACTAAAGGGCTATCTTAAATTATTTCCTTTGTATGATAAAATACTTTTGAAAAAAAGTGGTGCCAGGGAGTTCATTGCTACAAAATGTTTAAAAAGTGCCGGGCACCCCTAGGTACTGAAACTGSAGATGAGGAAACAAGGCAGAGAGACTTGCAGTGCCTCCCCCAGCAGTGTTTGGAGCAAGATTTGCTTCCGATCAGGACTTTGCCAYCGTGGATAAGTATAAGCTCCTGTTCCTATGGAAATGAGGAATGTAACCAAGTAACGGTGTGTGTGTCTAGTTCCAAGGAAGCAATGGAAACACTTCCATTGACTGCAGTGATCTCTGGCACATGTGAATGTTCCACAGTAGTTCAACAAATAACTTTTTTTTGTTACAGAAACTCTAGGGCAGGGCTAGGAAAACTTGGCAGTCCAAGCATCTGTAGAAGTCRATGAATGTGCAGCCTCCCCCCATATTAACCCCTTAGACTTTGCTTTAGTGCAGCATTAGGTGGAACTCTAGTTAGCTTCAAGAAGACTGCACGTGTGGAGGACCAGCTCAACTTGCATTCTCCTGGATAAACCTAGTTATCTTTGAGACACGTTTGCTGTCCTACTGGATCAAATAGAAAGCATAGGTTAGTTTCAGTGACAATTCCTTAAGGATCTTAACCAGAAATGCCAATAAAATGCACTTCACAAAAGCAAGTGTCTCATCATCTGACCTTCTTGTTCAATGTTTGTGGGCCTGCGTTGTGGAAAGAAGAAAGGCAGCATTTTACTCGAAGAGCTTGATTGTAAAGAAAGCGTACTAAGTGCTACTTTTTGTTCTGAACAAATCTCAAACAAATCTCAAAACTAAGCTCAAAGCTCTAGAAGGAGTCCAGGGAGTCTTGTGAACATGGAGGAGTTGTTCTTCATATGGACATACATGTGGATGTTGTGGGTTTGGAGGCTGTTGAGGCTCTGTTTTTCTTCAAAATATACTTTGCATCATTGTAACTTTCTGAGGTCTTTCTGAAGCCTTTGCCCATTGGGTGTTCTTTTTTTTTTTTTTTTTTTCCAGATTAATCTCTCTAATCTCCTAAATTCTATAGTCTTCCACTGACTTGTACAGATATAATCTGTGAACCATATTATTTATTCTTCCTTTGTGCTCTTTTGTGTGTAGAACACTTATTTATATGAGATTAAAATCTCTCTGCAACAGTTCTAGGTCTCACTGGGTGRCTCTCCCATTGGAGAGTCTTTTCTTTCTGGTAATCATTTGCATTTCAAGTTTGAAAATAACAGGAAACTTAAACTTTCCGGTAGTTTAGTATTATATATTGCCCCTTTATGTCTAGGTATTTGTATTTCAAGCAAAATTTTCCACAATCCATGGGGAAATAAACTACAATGTTTTTCTGGAAAAAAATAGGTTTTGATTTTTTAATTTTTWTTTTTTTTGCAGTAGTTGATTTCTGAGATATATTAAGAAGCAAAATAATTAATTGAGTAACTGTTGTGGTAAATTATGACTGTACCCGCTGCTAATCACATAATTTTGTAGTTTACCATTTGAGTGCCACTGTGCAGGTGTGTGTCATATAACTAATTCAGCCAATATGCTATACCAGAATACTATTTTTTTTTTCTTTAACGTCAGTCTTGATGTCAGTCCAACACCAAGAACTTCTCTTAACAGTACTATTATTTGCTTTGATTCAGATTTCAGACAACTGGCCAGGATATAGTCTGGATTTGTTCACTTACCCTCAGCACTACTATGGAGATCTGGAATATGTCCTCATTCCTCATGGCATTATTGTTGACAGGTATGTGTGCCTTCAGTGTTACCAATACGTTGGTCAGAATTATGGTTTGGGGTGTTTTTTTTTTTTTTTTTTTTTTTTTTTTTGGTAGAGTTTGTCATAAAAAAAAGTGTGTATAAAATATATTATAAAAATATTATTCTGTATTTAATTGTCAAAGTCAAAAATGCTTGAAGTTCAGGAGGTGCTCTGGACAGCTAATGCGAATGGAGTCTCAGAGGAAAAGACCATTGTCATGCGGTGAAATTGGCACTGGAGTGTACATGTACCAAAAGGCACATCTGAAATTGGTGGGACAAATACAAAGTTTTCTATTCTTAATATCCGWGTTGCTCATCTGCATCCAAACTAGCTTTATAAGTAAATATAAGTAAGCTTATGTTTACTTTTAACATAAAAATGAGAAAAACTGCATTTGATTATGTACAACTTTGGCAACTCCCTAATACAAATCATGAATATGGGATAACCTGATGGTTACATACTGCACCCCTGACTTCTGTTTTTTAAACTGATGAGCACAAGAGAGAAGTGTGGAATGGACGGTCTGGATCCCAAAGCGAGGCCTGGAAGGTGGTTGTGGGAAAGCTCCTTTTCCACCTTGTAGGGTTCCTGTTTGTTCTCAGTGTGCATCTGATGCTCCTTTGATATTCAGGGTAGTCCAGCTCAGTGTTTATGCCCAGTTTTTATTTTGACATGCTGCTAAATATCTTTTGAAAAGGTTACAAAACGGAAGTGGTATTTTTTAACAGCGTATTTATTGCAAACATCTGAATTTCATGAGACACTTTCAGCCTGCGGTTTTCTACCTACCACATTTGAGCAGCCGGTTGCAAGTATTGAAATTGTTGGAACTCCTTGAAAGAAGATCGTAAACATCCGTCATAAGGAAGAGCAGTGATTCCTCTATTTGTTTGGAAACATAAGCTTTCTTTTATTGCCTTTTCAGCTAACATTATCTTGAATTTTTCATCTCTTCTAGTTAGGGTCAACTGACTCAATTCTTTTTAAATAAATATGTTACAACTTCATTTCTCGTAGGATTCAGTAAATAATTTTTGAAGTGAGCAATTAATACCAATGTCTTCTCCTGTCCCAGCAGAAAAGACTGCTTCAGTTCTGATTAAAAAGGAAACAGTTGAATAGACTGTGATTATGAAAAAAAAAAAAAATGTAAGAAGAAGGCTCAACAATTGAAAATTCTCTTGTCAATAGGAGTTAAATATAAATATAAATTAAATATAGGCCAAAAACAATTTTTTTTTTTTTTTAGAAATTGACACTAGTAAATTTTTATCTACTCTGGAGTTTACTTTCTTAAAATAAGGAAGTGGTCTGTGGAATTCTTTGAAATTTTAGCTCCTAAAATAATCTGAGAGAAGATATAAATAGATGAAAATTGCCAGAAGAATATTTCCTTGTTTCTTAAAAAGGATAGATTTTTTCCTATCATTCTGAAACTTGAGATGATAAAAGATTAGTTTACTAATCTTCATCCTTACAACAGTAAAAGGATTTATATGTTTGAGGTCAAACAAGATGCTCTAGTTATGCTGTTTTTCAAATCTGAAAAATATCAATGCTTTTGATCCAATAATTGTTCTATAAAATTTACTTGAGTATTACAGGACTGTAAAAGTTGAAGTTAAAAGAGGGGCAGCTTTTGCTCATAACTTGTGCATTATTTTTCCATGAGAGTATATTCTTCTCTGATGCATTTAGGCCAGGCACATTTCCTTGAAGTTCTACATACAAATTTAGAGGCAAATGGATTCCTTTATTAGAATAGAAAGGAAAAAAGGAATGGAATGATGTCTCATTCAAGGAGACATCAAAGAACATTCCAGAAAGAGTGTTCACCAAAAGTTGTCACCTAAGCTGTTTTTCCCCAAAACATCAGATGACGTTTTTCAGTTTCCCATCAAAACTGAAGGGAATATTGACACACACACCCACAAAAAACAAAACTAGTGACTGGAGAATGTTTAAGAATGTGGTATTTTGAAAGTTCATTTTTCTATAAATGCCATCTCCTTTGCGTGGGAAATGGGTGAATCTTTCGGTTTCATTCATCACATTCTTCTTGCAATGTACGACTGTCAGAGACGGATACAGGAACTCTCCATTGAGAGACAGATACAGGAACCTTACATTCCAGATTAATCTGAGCATAACCTTGAGGACTGCCATGTGTATTACCTTGAGCAAGTCACTTAAGCTCATTGCACTGTTTTTCTCTGGTGTGAAATAGTGATAAAGTTAATTCTCCAAAAAATGTTGATTGATGCTCTATTTCTTTTTAGTATTTGTTTATACTTTTATCAAAATTGTAGAGGTGCCGTTTTCCAAAGCCAGTCACTATGAAATATTTTTAATGTGACTCTTTTTTCACTTAATTTTTTGTTTTGAAAAGTAGCTAACAGCAAACTGTGATTGTGCAGAAATATTTTGTACTCATGTCTCCTGCAAGGTGAAGTGCAGGACTCAATTTCTTTCAACACCTCCAACATCTGCGACATGCTTATGAATACTATGTATGGTGAGAAGTGTTACTCCCTTTTCTGTAACTGGGAATTAATGCTTTTAAGGTTAATCAGTTTGATTCATATGCCTTGCATCTTGCACCCTGCATTCCTTGTCACCCTACGTTGTGTACTTGATCCAAAATACATTCAAAGCAAATCAAAAAGCTTGAGTAGATTATAAGTCAAGCTAGCTAATACTAATACAAGCTAAATACACTTTCTAATGTTTCTTGGTAACTGAAGGGGAAGCATCTTATCGACTTGGACAATCAGCATCTAATGTTATTTTATCCTTAATTTCTACTTCAGGACAGAGCGATTGGCCAAAGATATTRTGCAGGACATTGGAGACAACGATATTGTGGTTCTCTGTGTACTCAAAGGTGGCTACAAGTTCTGTGCTGACCTTGTGGAGCACATTAAAAACCTGAGCAGAAATTCAGAAAGGTTCATCTCCATGAAAGTCGATTTTGTGAGACTGAAAAGTTACCACGTAAGTCAACAATTTATTTACGTAGATTCTGGTTGTGTTTTCATAATAGTAGACTTCTAGTGGGGAAAAAAAAAATCTTTTATAAGAAATTCAATGTGAAATTAAAAAAAAGAAGTGAGGTTTTTTTTCAAAATATTTATGTCCCTTTATGCTTTATGAATAATATGAATAATGATATGAGGCATCCTCTCTCAAGCTGTATTTTTCGTTTAATATCTTCACTTTTGGACAGAAAATTAGTCAAATTCCCATCATGTAAAATGTAGGCATGTTGGTTGTTCTCAAAATCCTCAATAGTCCTGTTAAGTTTATTTCACGTTACTTCCTTTGCCTCTCCTCATAGTTACATTTAGCATGCAAGATGATAAATCTGTGTCTTATTGTGAATATTTAATGCTARTTATATTAAATGTTTCACTCTTTATAAGATGCAGTTTACATAGTAGCAGAATATACCACTAGATGATGATAGTGCTTTATAGTTAAAGGAAATAAGACATTCACTGAACCAAATCCAGTGCTGAGGTAAAAGTCCAGACTTTTTGTTATCTTCAGAGGAAAATATGCAATAATGATTAATTTGGAGACAATGATAGTGAGAAGAATCACCCCTTTTGGGGGGTTTAACTGGTTACAGGTTTTGTTTGCACAAGCTATTTCTCTTCTGGCATTTCTCTCTTGAGAACTGCTCTGGTCTGTGAAGGACTTGTGCAGTAAAATGATCACCCAGTTTCTAGCTATTCTGCAGTATTACAAAAGGACTAATTAATAAAGTAAAATACACATTTGTCTCACACAGATGTGTGGATATTGTACTTTTTTTTTTCTTTTATTTTTTGCTGTGGTATTTGCCTTTCTATTTTGTGAAAATGCTTTGCTTATGGTAGAATTATTTGCAGTGTTTTTACTTTGCACTTGATATTCTAGGTAATGTTCATGCTTTTCCTATTGGGTTATCTTTTATCCATTGTGACGATATCATAACCAATGAGTGACAGATAATATGTACTGAAACAGTGTGGCAATCTCCCCRTTGTTTTGTAGGAAATGAAGTAGAATTGTACTACATGAACCTGAAACAGCAGTGAAAACTTTGTTATGCTGGAGTAATTACTAAATCCTGGCCTATTTAATGGCTGTGGATATTCTCTYTTTTTTTTTTTTTCTCAGAATTATGGGGTTAAAGAACTAGCTGAATTTACTTGCAGCTGTTTTTTAATTCAGAAATCCTGAGGTTTTCTTTGATTGTTTTATGTTTTTTGGTAAGTGCTTCCAAAGGGGTTGCRTGTATTTAGAGACTAGAGCTGTGCTTGAGTTAGTGCTGAATGTGGAACCTTGAACAGTCTTTGATTTCTGCCAGGCCTTGATAAGCTGGGTGACTTGTCAGTATGAATTTAAAATAACATTAATATTGGATTCATTCATTGAATGAGAGGTAAAAATAGTGCTAAATAAACATGACTACCTGGCATCCTTTGGGTTTTGAGTTATCATTTTGTTGATTCCTGTGCAATTGGAGGCAAAATGGTTATCTAAAATTTGAAATMATAGTCCGGTGCAGCATAGCTGTGAGCAGAACATTTAAGGAGTAGAAAGTTTTTATTTGTTTATGTGACCCTGTATCCCAGCCAATATGAGACTCCCGAATCACCTATGTGAATTTATTCTGTAATAGGGTTCCTCTCACCGTATTTTTAAGGTTTAATCACAGGCAAATATTTACATTCTGAGAGGTAAGGCTCTATCTGAAGTCTTGAGGCACTCCCCTCTCTACATTTCTCGTTGACTTTGCTTTTCCTGCTCCACTTTCTATTAAGAACTTACTGTTATTTTCTACCCATATTTCTCTCTTTTTACCCTTTCTCATTTTACAGACAGTTTTTCTCATGTAATTTTTCCTATCCTTTTACTAACTGTTCTCTGTTTCTCTCCTAAAGGGAGTCCTGCTGCTCTCCGTTTATTTCCTTCAGATTATTTCTTCCTTCCCCCTCTCCCTTGGCTGTCTAAATCCAACAACTAACTGCAGCTCAGACTGGTGGGATTTTTGAATTGGCTCATTCCAACTTCGGTACCGAAAGGTTAGTCATTTTTTTGGAGGTTGTAACTGAAAGTGGGATTTCTTGCTTTAATTGTGTTGCAAAAATCACTTCTAATTAAGATCTAAATTCTGATCTTGGCATCARTGTAAGTACATATTAACTATGATGTTTTAGCAAAAAATGTCATACTTGGGTATCCGTCGTGCTTTTCAAGTAAAAGGAAAATGCAAATTAGTCCAGCTTTACAGGGCTTTTTGTTTTTTCAAGTCTGTCATATTCCAGAATTTAGACATTTGTTAAAATAAAATCTTAAAATCTGTTTTCATATTAAGTAGTTTAAAATTAGGCATATAGATTCATTTTTATTTAGACTGTAGACTCTTGACATCGAACTATCTTTTCCATTTATTTAAGTGGTTTTTTTTTTTTTTTTTTCCCCCAGAGTGATATATGGTACAGAACAGAAAGACTTAAGAAATGTAAACATGTAGGTAGAAACTTACAGGCTCCAGTTTAGTTCAATAAATAAAAGAAACAGATGTGTCTAGTTATAAGGAAAGTTTATACCTGGATCTACAAATTGAGAAATATACTATTTACAAAGGGACRCTTGGTTACGTTTCGAAGTTATGTTTTGAAAACTGCTTACTGAGTAAGAATGATATTTAAAAAATATGAAATGTAAAGAAATCATTGTTGGAAAATATGTGGAGTGGTATCCTCCATAGAAACATGGCAAGCTCTTTGACGAATACACTTTCTTCTAGACCTACAGGCTGCGTGGCATACTTTCTCTCAAGTTAATTTTATATATTTGAATGACTATTAGAAAATGAAAACAAGGAGATTAATTAAGTGGGGATTCCATTAGACACTGTATGGTGACTTTTCAAGCTTCTACCACAACAGGCACATTAGAAGAAAGATGCAAGGGGACAATTAGAAAAGGTGACTTTTAAGAAATAAACAGATATTAAAGTAGCATTAAGACTTAAGGGCAAAGCTCATGAAGTAGATGAAGAAGAAAACAATATCCAGAGATTTGATTTGAATGAGGAGCAGCTTAGTTTAAGAGGCAGAAAGGAGACAAGGTTCTGTTTTGAATGGACTGGTGAGCAGCAAGGCAGCAAGTTCTGTGAATAGATGAGGAAGCCCCACAGTAGTCCCTAGGTGAAGTACAGTGAGGGTGTCCATAAGCTACGTCCAAGATTTAGGGGAAAAAGTGCATATTCTGGAAACACTAATGGAAGAGGTGATAGGATTTGGCAGCATCTTATATAGTAAGTTATAGGAATTTGGGTTTGAATATAGCACAGATCAGGAACAGTGGAATTACTTTAAGAGATTTTTTTCATTTTAAACTGGGAGAATAAAATTGAATATATTGATTTTTGACCATAATAATTTTTTTCCTGAGTGGTAGCTCATCCACAATGAATCAGAGCTCTGAAGCTGAATAGAAGGTGACAGCTCAAAAAGTTCACAGAAGACTTTGAAAATGAAAATGAATGTTTGAAGATGAGGGAAATGAGGAGTGAACAAAAGAATAAAAGAATAAAAGAAGACAGTATGCAGATAGAGAAGAGCTGAAGGAAATCTCTTTTATTAAAAGACCATAGTATGAGATCACCCAAATCTTAGACTTTTTGTAAGCTGATAGAGCATGAAGCGGAGGCGAATGTGGTTGTATCAGTTTCCACTGTAAAGTATATTCTTGTTTTCATGCAGAGGAATAGAGTGTTGTTGAACTCTATGTTGTATGTTGTTAAACTCTATAAGAGCTTCTCTTTATTAAATGAGAAAGAGATYGTTTAAGACAAACTAATAAAGACAAAACTTGAGTTAGACCTAGAAATAGGAGAGGACATTCAGCCTCATCAAGTCTAATCCCCTTCTAAAAACTGCAGCAGCATTACTTGGTCCTTTTCCAAGGCAACTGTGCTCTTTAAACCAAAGGTCAGTTTTTAAAATGGAATTGGAAAAAAATCAGTAGAGAATTATACAGAATGTGTAGATTTATACAAAGTGTGTAGACTTTCTTAGGAGTTCTCAACAACCCATCAGTAGAAGAGATTTTGTGTGCAGTTCTGGGCTCCCCAGTATAAGAGGGATGTGGAGCTTCTAGAGAGGGCCCAGCGTAGAGCGACAAAGATGATTAAGGGACTGGAGCATCTATTGTATTGTATATTGAGGAGAGACTGAGTGAGTTGGGCCTGGTTAGCTTGGAGAAGAGAATGTTGAGAGAGGACCTGATCAACATGTACAAATACCTGAGGGGAGGGTGTAGGGAGGAAGGGACCAAGTTCTTCTCAGTGGTGGCCAGTGACAGGACAGGGGCAATGGGTACCAGTTGAAACACAGGAAGCTCCGTCTCCATGTGAGAAAGAACTTCTTTCCTGTGGGGGTGACAGAGCCCTGGCACAGGCTGCCCAGGGAGGCTGTGGAGTCTCCTGCTCTGGAGGTCTTCCAAACCCGCCTGGATGTCGCCCTGTGCCCCGTGCTCTGGGTGTGCCTGCTGGAGCAGCATGATCTGGACTGGATGATCTCTAGAGGTCCCTTCCAACCTTGAATGTTCTGTGATTCTGTGGGAAAGTAGATGGGTGAGAATTAACATTCATTAGTGGACTTTGATGGAAGCTACATGTTGAGTTATGCAAAGAGTTGTGATTGAAACTGGAGGTTGATAAGATAGAGAGACAGAAAAGAAAATTGTTTTTTTATTAGGCAGACCAGTATGCTTTCAACGTGCCTAGTTACTTCTCCTTGATATGAGTATTCCCATAACATTATCCATAGCTATCTGCTGCTTGTAATTCATACAAAATTAGCAAAACAATACCCTTGAATTTGGGGGAAGATCAAGTGAYCTCAGCAGCACATTTCTGCAGTGAAGATCATGGCGAGTTAATCTAGCAGCGAGATTGAGAGAGTTTTGCTTTTTCTTAAGTTTTTTTCTCTTAA